TGTGTGTGTGTGTGTGTGTGTGTGTGTGTGTGTGTGTGTGTGTGTGTGTGTTTGTGTGTGTGTTCTGAGTAATTCAGAAAAGTTAGCCCACTAGATACAATAGATTTTTTTTACCGCAGTGTGTAGGTAGGTCTATATTCTTATTCACCATCACTATATAACGAAAAGTGATGAAACATTGGAAAAGAGGAGAGTAGGCCTACTAGTGCACGATAGTGATGGTTAACCGAAAGTGCTCCTAAGAAAAGATTAATATTATGTACATTATTTTGAGAAGATTATGTCATAATCTTATGTACATTATTTTGGTATTGAGTATAATTGGACGTGGAGAGTCAGAGCCTTGTTAAAAACCTATAGCCTTCCACTTAGTATCTTTATCATTGAAAATTAATAAATTCACCTTTATGTGAGAAGTGTTATTCTCATGAAATTTAAGGTGAATTTCACTTTATTTCCTTATAGTTCAAATTTTGCCAATAAAAGAGAATGATTAACCTCCTCACCCTACCCACCCACCAGACATGGCTAGAAATTTGCAATGTTTGACCCATGAACAGAGGTATGGGTGCAATATTTACTATTTAAGGAAACTTTATAATTTAGTTTTAGTTTAGTGTGAGTAAGAGTTTAACGGCGCTCGCAACTACATAAGGTTATATATAAGCGCGCGAAACATAAACTGGTTGCATTCACAACAATTCACAGCACGGTTTGATTGGGTTCAATATTTCTATTAAAATGTCATACATTTGTGGTAAATTTATAATTTGATAACGCAACGGACACGGAATTAGAATGTTGATATGCATTCCAATTTATGATTTATGCCGTTGTCATTGAAGTCTGCTCTGTAAAATGTATGTCTTATATGACATGGGCCAATGACCTGAAACAATGAATAAACATTAACTACTCACTTGTTTTTGATAAACTTTTCGCACTAATTTGGCGGGACGCCTGAAAATGATAGAGTAACCTTGGTCTATATAATATTCCCCATATTAAGCCCGTGTCCACCGAACCAGAAACCACCGACTGTTTGCTATTCGCCTCTCGGGAAGTCGGTAATAAAAGCAGAGCACCGGGATTTTTTTTTTCCTCAGAAATCCGTGGAAATTCCGTTTGGAAATAATTAATAATAATAATAATAATAATAATAATAATAATGATAATGATAATAATGATAATAATAATAGGCCTAATCATTATCATTAGATCTATCATTATCATTTTCATTATTATTATTGTTGTAATTATTATGTCATTATTGTTGTTATTGTCATTAATTGTCATTATTATCATGATTATTATTACAACAACAACTTAATAATTCCATTCATATAGCGCATGTCTACGCTCTACGGCGTGGTTTCTGTACAACTATATATAGAGGTCTAGCTTGCGACATTGGACTGATGAGGACATTGTTACATCACATGAATGTACTGTTTCACTTCACTCAGTCAGCTTTACATTTACACATTAGTATTGTTGTGCGGGACAATAATGATGTATATTCATGTCGCGTACAGGCTCAACTGTGTTCATATCATAATGAATCAATGTTATCAGGACGCACGCTGCAGTGGCTGCTATATAAGGTGGCATGTGTTGTGATCCGCCTCTTTTTATCTTTTTGTGTTTTTGTTTTAGTTCTATGTTTTGTTTTTTGTATTTTTTAATTATTTTTTTTAAACTTCCTTTTTGCGGTGGAGGGGTCGGG